TGTTTTCTATAGGATATAGCAGTGTTTTCTATAGGCTACAGCAGTGTTTTCTATAGGATATAGCAGTGTTTTCTATAGGTTATAGCTGTGTTTTCTATAGGCTATGGCAGTGTTTTCTATAGGATTAGCAGTGTTTTCTATAGGTTATAGCTGTGTTTTCTATAGGTTATATCAGTGTTTTCTATAGGATATAGCAGTGTTTTCTATAGGCTATATCAGTGTTTTCTATAGGTTATAGCTGTGTTTTCTATAGGTTATATCAGTGTTTTCTATAGGCTACAGCAGTGTTTTCTATAGGCTATATCAGTGTTTTCTATAGGTTATAGCTGTGTTTTCTATAGGCTATGGCAGTGTTTTCTATAGGATTAGCAGTGTTTTCTATAGGTTATAGCTGTGTTTTCTATAGGTTATATCAGTGTTTTCTATAGGATATAGCAGTGTTTTCTATAGGCTATATCAGTGTTTTCTATAGGTTATATCTGTCAAGGGTATGAGAATCACTGTTGTTATATGTAGATCATTGTTTTCATGTTTGATAGGGAAACGATGTTGAGTTAGAGATTTTAAGTGTAGCTGTATCGTTTGTGTGGGAGTGTTGTGACGAAATTGTGTAAGGGGATATGACGGGTTCGTTTTTTGTCGATGTTGTGATAAAAGATTGATGGCCGATATAATATTTTGACTGTTGGACTTGTGTTGCTGTGTGATAGGCTGAAACGATTGGATTTGTAATCTGTCATTATATCACAACGCTACTTAAGGAATTGTTCTTAAATAATTCATATATTGCAACAAACCGTAAAGTGTTTGTTGAATTAGAAACTGTTGCTATTGGTTATATTGTTGGTGGGATCAAGTGGGAGACTTGGCCAGATAAGTAGACACTCATTGCCAGGAGGGGATAATTGCAACTCAATAGATTCAACGTTTAGACAATAGCAGTGTTTTCTATAGGTTATAACAGTGTTTTCTATAGGTTATAACAGTGTTTTCTATAGGTTATAACAGTGTTTTCTATAGGTTATAACAGTGTTTTCTATAGGTTATAACAGTGTTTTCTATAGGTTATAACAGTGTTTTCTATAGGTTATAACAGTGTTTTCTATAGGTTATAACAGTGTTTTCTATAGGTTATAACAGTGTTTTCTATAGGTTATAACAGTGTTTTCTATAGGTTATAACAGTGTTTTCTATAGGGTACCAGTACATTCATGGTTTATTAAAAAATAAATACATTTCAATTGAAACCCCAAAAAGCCTTAAGAAATCATAGGACCAAACTAACAAAGAAATCATAGGACCAAACTAACAAAGAAATCATAGGACCAAACTAACAAAGAAATCATAGGACCAAACTAACAAAGAAATCATAGGACCAAACTAACAAAGAAATCATAGGACCAAACTAACAAAGAAATCATATGCCCAAACTAACAAAAAAATCATAGGACCAAAATAACAAAGAAATCATATGACCAAAATAACAAAGAAATCATATGACCAAACTAACAAAGAAATCATAGGATTAAACTAACAAAGAAATCATAGGACCAAACTAACAAAGAAATCATAGGACCAAACTAACAAAGAAATCATATGACCAAACTAACAAAGAAATCATATGACCAAACTAACAAAGAAATCATAGGACCAAAATAACAAAGAAATCATAGGACCAAACTAACAAAGAAATCATATGACCAAACTAACAAAGAAATCATATGACCAAACTAACAAAGAAATCATATGACCAAACTAACAAAGAAATCATATGACCAAACTAACAAAGAAATCATATGACCAAACTAACAAAGAAATCATATGACCAAACTAACAAAGAAATCATATGACCAAACTAACAAAGAAATCATATGACCAAACTAACAAAGAAATCATATGACCAAACTAGCAAAGAAATCATATGGCCAAACTAACATACAATTACATTCACATTTACAATTTTAAACTATCGAATTATTCTGGGGAAAATAATATGAAATGTCCATCTGGTCCAACACTTGACTGGCATCTGGAACAATGGATTTACCTCTATTTGACTGACTGACATCTGGAAATGAGGATATACTTCTCTTTGACTAACATCTGGAACTAAGGATATACTTCTCTTTGACTGACTAACACCTGGAACTATGGATATACTTCTATTTGACTGACTAACATCTGGAACTGAGGATATACTTCTATTTGACTGACTAACATGTGGAACTGAGGATATACTTCTATTTGACTGACTGACATCTGGAACTAAGAATATACTTCTATTTGACTGACTAACATGTGGAACTGAGAATATACTTCTATTTGACTGACTGACATCTGGAACTAAGAATATACTTCTATTTGACTGACTGACATCTGGAGCTGAGGATATACTTCTATTTGACTGACTGACATCTGGAACTAAGAATATACTTCTATTTGACTGACTGACATCTGGAGCTGAGGATTAGTTTGCTGAAAGCTTTGAACCACATGTAGATTATAATTTATAATAATAGAGTGTAGGTGATTAAAATGTCAATTGACCTATCCATTAATCGATTTATTTAGAAAGTTCTATCAAAAACTTAGCATTGAATGTATCACTTTACCTTTATCAAATGAACCATTTACATTTGGCAATTAATATAGTCTAACGCACATGGACCACAATGTAAGAGAAACAATGGTAGAGACCCATTTAGCAGAATGAGGCAAAAAGCATGAAGGTCAGAAGTTCATGCTAGCACGCCTTGCCTCCAGAAAGGCTGATCCATGTTGGAAGCCCAAACCCCAGCACCAGAGCTCAGTTGCAGACGGAACACTGACCTACTAAGTCTTATTTAACAGGTTAGACAACAGCGAGAAAACCATCGGCATGGCACACCAGCTCCAGAAATGGTTGCACACCAGCCCCAGAAATGGTTGCACACCAGCCCCAGAAATGGTTGCACACCAACCCCAGAAATGGTTGCACACCTGTAAACTTCCTGCCCCAGCCTCGAAAAAAAAAAGGGGGGGGGGGGGGGGGAGAGTGCCACCAGATTCCTACATTAATAATAGCCAAGCAGATGGAGCTTGTTGCCCATGTGGTATAGAGAGCTAGAGATCTGCTCCAACCAGAGTGTTATAAAATATTACCAGAATTCCAATACGTTTGACATAACAAAGAATTAATTTTTATAAAATAACTATTCTTGTGTACATACTTAACTTTTCTGTAAAACATTGACAGTGGGAACTAACTACAAACCATGATATATTAACTATGTGTTTGAAATTGTACAACTTGATAAAACTACAAACCATGATAATCAACAGTGTCTGAAATCTAAAAACTTGATAAAACTAACCAGGACACCTACATTCTAATAATCAACAAATTGAACAATCAAATCTTTCCTTTTTCATTAGATAGTATGCAATTTAAAATAGATACTGCAACACAGGTTATAAACAAGTCAGACTGCCACTATATAGTGCCACCATCTACTAGACAACTAACAGCCAACATCAACTAGAAAATTGACTGCCACCATCTACTGGACAATTACTAGCCAATTCACTGTCACTATCTACAAGACAATTCACTGCTACTATCTACTAGAAGATTACTAGACAATGCTCTGCTCTTATCCAATTTGCTGCCACTATCTACTAGACAATTAATAGACAATTCACTGCCACTATCTACTAGGCAATTACTAAAAAATTCACTGCCACCATCCAATAGACAATTGCTAGACAATTCACTGCCACTATCTACTAGGCACTTGACTGCCACTAATAGTCCAGGGGTGACCAACCCTTTGGCCACATGCAGCTCGCTTAATCAAATATTATGACCTGCCAGCTGTATTGGTACATATATTTACTTATTTGACTGCTTCCATCTACTAGACAACTTATTTGACTGCTTCCATCTACTAGACAACTTATTTGACTGCTTCCATCTACTAGACAACTTATTTGACTGCTACCATCTACTAGACAACTTATTTGACTGCTACCATCTACTAGACAACTTATTTGACTGCTTCCATCTACTAGACAACATATTTGACTGCTTCCATCTACTAGACAACTTATTTGACTGCTACCATCTACTAGACAACTTATTTGACTGCTACCATCTACTTGACATGGTAAAAATACACATTTAAAATGTAGGCTATATAAAGCATTTTATTGCGACTGTGTGGATTTTTCTGTGTACCGGCCACTCTTTTAAACTGATCTTTTTTTTTCAAATTCAAATTTTTAATTTAAAAAATATATATTTATATACTACAACAGTAACAAAACTAACCACTACAATGAAGGTGAAAGTGGACTATTACAACAGTAACAAAACTTACCACTACAATGAAGGTGAAAGTAGACTATTACAACAGCAACAAAACTAATCACTACAATGAAGGTGAAAGTGGACTATTACAACAGTAACAAAACTTACCACTACAATGAAGGTGAAAGTGGACTATTACAACAGCAACAAAACTTACCACTACAATGAAGGTGAAAGTGGACTGTTACAACAGTAACAAAACTTACCACTACAATGAAGGTGAAAGTGGACTATTACAACAGTTACAAAACTCACCACTACAATGAAGGTGAAAGTGGACTATTACAACGGAAACAAAACTAATCACTACAATGAAGGTGAAAGTGGACTATTACAACGGAAACAAAACTAATCACTACAATGAAGGTGAAAGTGGACTATTACAACGGAAACAAAACTAATCACTACAATGAAGGTGAAAGTGGACGGGCACATAGAAAGACAATAAATGTACATGACAACATTGAAGCCGACCATTTCAAACTGATGAATATTTTATTACTAATACAAATACAACTATTTAGTCATTTCATTTTGTTTGGACATATATTTGGACAAAGACATCAACAATTATTTTGCGAAGTGACACAAATGTGACACAAGGACAGAGGAAGAGCCCTGACCATTCATAAACTCAATAACTAAAGTGACAGTTGAAATTAGGGAACAACCGAAAACCCATTCCCCCCCCCCTCCCCTCCGTCCGAATATCCTATTTTTTGGTCAAGCACTCACCTCTGCAAATACTTCTTTTACTAGCGTTCTATTAAAGATCCAAATATTTATTTGAAGTTTAAAGTTTTAGAGATGTTCCATAAATTTCCATATTAAACTGGTTGGAGTTCATTTCCCACCAAAACAAACAAAGAAAGAAAGAACAAAAAAAACACCCAGCTGCTTAATGCTAACTTTGAATCCACACGATATAACATTAGCTGCACACGCATTCTAACATATTTACATCCCTCCCCATTGAATAAATGAAAACTTTTAAATTTTCAACAAATTTTATGGGCCTTTTTGCACTGATCAATAGTAACTAAAAAATTAATGAGTTTAAGTTGATGAAGTTGATTGAAATTTAGATGTCATTATAGATAACCAATCGGTCAATTATGCTGGCTGTGGTATGAGAAATACAGATTCCTATATTTAAATTAATGAAGTAATACAGACCTGTTTACCCTCAAACTCTTAAACTCGTACAATATCTTACATTTATAGTAAAAAAATAAACATACAGTTTATGTAATGTTTACACCTCAAATCGTACATTGTACGCAAAATCGTAAGAGTAAATAAGTCTGGTAATATGATTATCATCAGACTTGAGAAAGTTATTTAATTTTAACAACTTATAACATTATTGTTCACTGTACCGTCATGTGGATTGAAGTTTTTTTTTAAACTCTACGTGCCATGTGGTTATAATATGTTAAACGTGGCGGTTCAAAATTATATGCTTGTTTAAGAAATCTTTCATAACTAGTCAATGATATATTATTATAGGCTTAAAACGCCTATTCAAGCCTTCGGTGATCGAGAAAGTACAGTATAAGTGCATAACACCAGAAATGTTGGTAGCACTCCTTTGAAATGATATTAGCATTGTTGCATTGGTCTGACCGCAGTTAATTTTAAATATTACGGGGTATAAGAATTTAAAGGAGTTTGCCATTTTTATTATAAAATAAATCTCTATTTTGTTCATTTGTATTATACATAGACATGGAATTATACACGGAACACGTTATACACAGTTAATATACAGTGGAATTATACACGGAACACGTTATACACAGTTAATATACAGTAAGTTTCATCATGAATAATGCAAAAAAAGTACTCTGGGATTAGTACCCACGGTGAAATGGTAGCCTTTAAAAACTAGGATTCAGTACACAGTAAAAATGTTTAACCGGTTGTTCCCTAGTTGATATTTTCTAGAAATGTTGCAGATGATATTTGTAGAAATGTTGTAGTTGATTATTGTAGCAATGTTACAGTTGTTGTTGAAATTTGTAAAAATGTTTTGGTTAAAACAAGCAAACAGGCAAGATGATTTTCTTTCACAATGTCAAAATGCTTTTTGCCTATCTACACAGAGGCCTCTGTTACTCGTGTCCATCATACATTCTACAACTGTGATTGTATGTATTACTCATACCTTCTATAATAGTGATGTTATTTTCTAAACCTTTAAGCCATTCAAGGCACATGAAATGTCCAAGTGTGGTAGACAGGCAAAGACAAGAAGAGAGCTTAGAACAGAAATATTAACATCCATACATTCTAATGGAATTACCCAATCAAAGACATATGGTAACATATTCTCAAGTATTTGTTTCATGAAAGATATACAACATATTTTGTTTCACACGAAACTCTCTCCCAAGGTCCATAAGAAAAATATATTCTACATCCACAGAACTCCCCTTCAGTTTCAGAAAAACACGTCCATTTTGTTTTAATATTACGCCAAAATTATCCACAAGTTGATGTAATAATGTCACAAGACCTACATTATCCACAAGTTGTTGTAATAATGTCACAAGGCCTACATTATCCACAAGTTGTTGTAATAATGTCACAAGGCCTACATTATCCACAAGTTGATGTAATAATGTCACAAGGCCTACATTATCCACAAGTTGGTGTAATCATGTCACAACTATGAACTCCACTTTGTAATACTTGGAAGGAGCGTTAAGGTTCATCCATGTTTAGAATGTTAGATTATTCCGACAAGAGAATAAGAAAAAGACTCAGAGTGATGTAGAACTGTACCACAGGGTGATGTACAGCTGTACCACAGAGTGATGTACAACTGTATTACAGGGTGATGTACAACTGTACCACAGGGTGATGTACAACTGTACCACAGGGTGATGTACAACTGTACCACAGGGTGATGTACAACTGTACCACAGGGTGATGTACAACTGTACCACAGGGTGATGTACAACTGTACCACAGGGTGATGTACAACTGTACCACAGGGTGATGTATGATGTAAAACTGCACCTCAGAGTGATGTATAACCTGCACAACATCAACAAAAATTATTGCAGTGAGTTGCAAATTGGGGGGGGGGGGGCATCTTAGCAGGTGTCATACCTGTGTGATCTCACAATCTTCCCATTCATTTTCAGACTCAGTGTCAGACAAGTCATCCTGGGCCTCACCGTCACTGCATGCCAGAGAAATGGCTTCTACGCTGCCTGCGATAGACCCCGTTTCTGACCTCTCGTCCCCTTTTAGATTAATCCGCCCGCTGGGGATGTTACCATCAGGGGGTAGCAGGTGATATTTTTCCAGCAGCGAGTGGTCACTGGTGCTGTGTTTATTTTGAATAGCCATGTGTGCGGGTGGAGGTGGGGTGAGCGGAGGTGGTCCTGGGGTCAGTGGTGATGCCGTCGCTGACGTTGGTGTGGATTTTGAGGACCATCCCCTCGATGGATTCTGCGGATGCAAAAAGTTTGGTGTTGTCACCGTGTGAGGCGGACCTCGTTTTGAAATGACCGAGTACCGATCTCTCGTCATGTCATCTGCGCTTTTACTCCGTTCCAGATTGCTGCTTTCATGCATGGGTGAAAAGTAGACCTTGACCTTGTCAATGAAAAAGAAAAATTAGATCAAGCTTAATCAAAGAATAATTTAGTTAAAATATCGTGCTCTTCTTTCCTTTCATTTTCCATATCAAATGTTGCAAAAGGCTATATTATATATTAACCATTATCAAAACAATAAGGAATTTCCTTGGCTTTTTATAGGCACCTAAAATTTATTGAACAAATGAAATAAGAACTTAAAGAAGAAAACATACTTTCAAATAAGGACGAATGTAGCAAGAGAAACAAATTACAATGAAATAGTTTTACATAATTATTTAATTAAATTAAACAGAAACATGCCAATTTATCACTTTAAAAATTAAGTTTAGAAAAGAATGCTTCTTAAAATAAAGGCAATAGATACTTGGCTTGTCTAAAGAAAAAAAACATTCTAAATAGTTGCATATTTTATTTTGATATGAAAAATTTGATTTTTTTTTTTAAATACACTGATCTAGTGTTGTTATTCGTCAATTCATTGCAGACACTTACTTTGAAATTTGGACTAAAAAGTTTGTGAGATTTATCCTTATTGGCACGGTCAAGCTCCGCCTTTGGCAGTGTCAGTGACAAATGTTCGTTGTATTCCTCATCAGCGCCATTGCTGGCCGCACCGTTTTGATGCACCCTCTCTCGGTCAGTTACAAAAAAAGTGTTGAACCAGAAATGAAACATCTTTTCCTGTTCAAGATTTTAACAAAGGAAAAAATCGTTGGCACTGAATGTGAAAAAATGACATGTAAAACAATTGTTCTATTTTTAGCTTGATCAATGTGTACAACTTAAAGATTAAAACATTCAGTCTTCTCGTGAGCTTGGTTTAGATGATATTTTACTGGTCATAATATATGTTCAAAACCAATGTTCCCTTTAACCTGCGCTGCTGCGCAGCTATCTCACTGCAGCAGTTTTGAGTATCCGCGCAGCAACTTTTCATGCAAGTGTGTGTTTGTATTTGTGGGCTGTAAAATTTTTCCACAAAAAAATTGATGCTGTAAAACTTTGCACACAACTGTAGGATTTTGCACACGAACCAGCAAACCTTAGAGGGAACATTGTTCACAACTAACCTTTTTGTTAAGTTTTGACTTGTTGAAAAACTCGATCTTGATATCACCACAGATGGGCACAGATTGGCTGCCGTGATTTACCGGCATGTAAAAACTGTTTCTGTCTCTCTGAACTCCATTGTAGATTGGGGAAGTGTAGACCTTGACCTTTAACTGATGAACCTCAAAATATGGCACTGCCGAAGTATCAAAAGAATTTGTATGGCACAAAAAGTGATAACAATACTACTATACAAAGTTAGTGGTACAACTAGAAATTTTTAAAATTTGTTATTCTAAATGTAAGTCATGAAAATCATAAGCCAAAAATCATATTTTCAAATTATTGCTTCTACTCACTGCAAGAGCCGCTATTGAACATAGGAATGGTTTCAAACTTGACCCCTTTCAACAACAGGCTCACTTGTCTGTACACAATCCCTGGCTTAAGTAGGTCAGCATAATATAACACGTATCTGCGCTGACTTGGGATTGTTACACCCTGAAAAAGGTAATGATTGGCTGTTAGATCATACTTCTGTACAATCTCAATCCAACAAATTGTTGTACAATCTCAATCTAACATATTGTTGTACAATCTCAATCCAACAAATTGATGTACAATCTCAATCCAACATGTTGTACAATCTCAATCCAATATATTGTTGTACAATCTCAATCCAACAAATTGATGTACAATCTCAATCCAACAAATTGATGTACAATCTCAATCCAACAAATTGATGTACAATCTCAATCCAACATATTGTTGTACAATCTCAATCCAACAAATTGATGTACAATCTCAATCCAACAAATTGATGTACAAGCTCAATCCAACAAATTTTTGTACAATCCCAATCCAACAAATTGTTGTACAATCTCAATCCAACAAATTGTTGTACAATCTCAATCCAACAAATTGTTGTACAATCCCAATCCAACAAATTTATGTACAATCTCAATCCAACAAATTGATGTTCAATATCAATCCAACAAATTGTTGTACAATCTCAATCTAACATATTGTTGTACAATCTCAATCCAACAAATTGATGTACAAGCTCAATCCACCAATCTGACCTCACAGAGTGGTACTTTGTCAAAGTCTATTTAAAGGTAACACAGTGCCAACAGGATAAACAATTTTACACAGTGCCAACAGAACTTGACCTACAATTTTGTACTCTGCCAGTATGACTTGACCTACAAAGTGACACATATCCAGCAGGACTAGACAAAGTTGACACCTGGAGAAACCAGCCACACACTGCCTGGTAGTGATTTGATTAAAGAACATAGTTACACACTACCAGATATAGATAGGATAGAAGAAAGCTATTACAGACTACAAGTCCAGGCATCCATAGTCAATGGCGTAGCTAGGATTGGTGTCACCCGGTATGGTAAACTCTCATGGTGTCACCCGGTGCTGTAAACTCATGGTGTCACCCGGTGCGGTAAACTCATGGTGTCACCCGGTATAGTAAACTCATGGTGTCACCCGGTATGGTAAACTCATGGTGTCACCCGGTATAGTAAACTCATGGTGTCACCCGGTATGGTAAACTCATGGTGTCACCCGGTATGGTAAACTCATGGTTTCACCCGGTATGGTAAACTCATGGTGTCACCCGGTATGGTAAACTCATGGTGTCACCCTCCTCCCCTTCACTTGCACAAAGGATTTCTTCTCTTCTTGTTAAAATAATTTAACAGTATAACAATGACAAGAAAACAATCAAATTAATTAAAGATCAGGAGGTCAAAGCATTTAAGAACTGTAACAACATAATGTTTCAGTTATTTTGACATTAAATTTACTTTACTTAAAATTCTCCTTTCCTGGTCTTCAAAGCTGCAAACCTGTCAATCACTTGATCAAAATCAATATCCTCCACCACATCAATTAACAGCAGACTCAGATCAGAAACTACTGACTTTCCCATGGAGGATCCTCAATAGTTCTCCTGCTATTCACTTCTTCAACCTTAATCTTCTCTCTTGCGAAATTCAATTTTGATCTGATTTTAGAAGTGCCATTTCAATAGCATTTTCCACCAAGTGACGGCGCTTCTCGTGTAGAAACAATTTAAAGGACTCTAGGTTGGTCACCACTTTGCCAATTGTAAAGCCGATGTCGCTGTGCAAGATTTAATTTCTTAAGTAGATCAGTCCAAAGGTAAAGATAGCAGATTCAAGTGAAATCACAGACAACATGTAGATCACCTTGTGCTTTATGAAAATCGTGCTCAAATTTTAAGAGGTGTTGCTATCGACGATACGGCGAAAATATTTCTGGGTTTCGATATATTTTGCTTCAAAAACCTTGTTTTTAAATTTTAATTAATTATTAAAAGATATTAGAAAATGTTGTAAAATATTATTTTGTTAACCATTATAAATAGGTAAAAAGTTATGTTTAATGTTTTTAGTTTTTTACCGATTCCATTCATGTACTTAGAATTGCCTGACCTTTTCGTATTTGGTATCAATGGAAAGCTTTATTTATCAGAATTTAGATAAATATAGCTTCTTGTCACTTACAAAAGTTACTGAACACTTCAGTCAGCTTTGAATCATTATAAATGGTATTGTATGAAATTTGTTGAGACCGAGCAGTGTGTGCTCTGTAAATATGTAATTTTTCAATTTGGTGTCACCCGGTGCGGTCCACCAAGAGAGTGTTCTAATTAGACCAAGAGCATGTTCTAATTAGACCAAGAGAGTATTCTAATTAGACAAAGAGCATGTTCTACTCAGACCAAGGGCATGTTCTAAGTAGATTAAGAGTGTGTTCTCATTATACCAAGAGATTGTTCTAATTTGACAAAGAGTGTGTGCTAATTAGACCAAAAGCATGTTCTAATTAGATGAAAAGCATGGTCTAATTTGACCAAGAGACTGTTATAATTCAACGAAGAGAGTGTTCTAATTAGACCAAGGGCATGTTCTAATTAGACCAAGGGCATGTTCTAATTAGACCAAGGGCATGTTCTAATTAGACCAAGGGCATGTTCTAATTAGACCAAGGGCATGTTCTAATTAGACCAAGGGCATGTTCTAATTAGACCAAGGGCATGTTCTTATTAGATCAAGAGATGCTCTAATTTGAACAAGAGCATGTTCTAAGTAGATCAAGAGATTGTTCTAATTAGATCAACAGTTTGTTGATCAAAAGCCTGTTATAAAAGATCAAGAGTATGTACCTAAACAGATAATAATGGAAACTTTCAAGTTTGTTCTTTTCACCTAAAAATGTTAACCTAACAATAAAACGAACATTTCATAAGTAGTTCAACGATTGGATTACCTTTTCATCCCTGGTCCTTGTGGCTCCATAATGTCGTAAGGCGGCATCAGCATCTAGAAACCTCTGGCGGTGGAGCATGTATGCACAAATCATTACTCCAGTCCGGCCCTAAAACCAAATTTACAGATTAAAGAAGAGTTTTAAATTCAAAAAAAAAAAAAAAAAGAATGATGCTA